GATGTGTTGGATTACATTTATTGACTTACGTATGTTAAACCATCCCTGCGTCTCTGGGATGAAGCCTACCTGGTCATAGTGTATAATTTTTTTTATGTGTTTCTGGATTAAAGGTAATTTTTTAGGTTTGTTTTGTCTTTGTTTTACATATTTATTTTAAATATTTATGGAAAACTTTTAAAATTTTTAAACTATTACCTAGCTGCCTGGCCATTATTATATTTTTATGGGGTCTAATCCATATCTAGTATATTGAACTGCAGTAAAATTAATGTAGATAGTACATAGCCATTCTGAATTAGAATCAGTTCTTAGTCTTTCAATGATACTCATGGTTTAGGACTTAATGTTTTATTTGAGTCCTCTCCAGGGTCGCAGTTCTTCATCTCAACATTCTGTTATTATTGCCTTCCGCTGTAGATTAGTTTAGATGAAGAGGGCCCAATGATACAGAGAATATTACCTACATGAGCAGATAGATAATTTAGAATAATTAACTTTAGCTAATTCCAAAACAGTTAAAATATAGTAGTTAATGAAATGAGTACTCCTTTCCCAAAAGTAACAATAGTTTCTCACTTATTCAGCATACTCTTACCTACCGCCCACAAAAAAGGACAGCAGAGTATAAATTCAAAATAGTTTAACTGGCTTATACTTCAGTATGATTGCCATAAGTTTGAATCTCTTACTCCAGTCACATCATCTTCCTTCATCACCTTCCTCACCCTAAACCTTCCTAGAATTCTAATTTTAGCATAAACAAAATGCCTGTTGCCCTATTCCTATCCATTCTTACTGTACCTTCATAAACAATAGACAAATTGTTAATCCCTCTGTGAAAGACTTTCCTGGTATCTTTAAAGCTATTTATATATAGGCCTCTGTTTATTTGGCACTAATACAAAGAAATTCTTAGCTTAAAATAAATGAACAGCTAGATAATGTTATAAGAGGCTTAAGAAGAGGTCACATATGGCTGGGAAATGAAAATGAAGGATATTTCTTTGACATTGGTTAGAGGATACTTATTTTCTGTATAGTAACTATCTACTGGTTTCAATTTTAAATCAAATGATATAACCATAAATCTTTAATCTCAGGTGAACATTAATGAAACAGGAAAAAAAATCCAGGTGCCTATGGCTTACATCTATAATCTTAACTATACAGAAGGTTGAGATCCAGAGGACTGCAGTTTGAGGCTAGTCTGGGCAGAAAAGTTGATGACACTCTCCAAAATACCAGCATAAAGCAGGGCTTGAGGTATGGCTCAGATTTTGTACAGTGCAGCCAAGCAAATGTGAGTTCAAACCTTGTCATCTGCACAAAATAAAAGGAACAATTTCAAGGTCTAGCATTAACCTATATGAATTGTTTACATAATCCATGTGTTGCTAGGGTTTGATTTATGTTGGTTTTATTGCTTCTCAAATTAAATTCTGCAGTTAAAAAGCAGAAAAGAAAACTCATTAGTAAATTCATTAGAATTAGTGAGGGAAAGATTCCAGGCTTTGCAGAAGTCCCCAGAATCTATCCATCTTTTCTAAGAGTGTAGTATGGCTTATTTGATTTCTTCCAAGCTTTAGGCTCATATACACCATGCCTCCACTTCTGTCCCTTCCCAGTCAAGATTTTAAGACTTAGCTTGAAAAAAATACCACCTTTCTTTTTTTTTTTTTTTTTTTTTTTTTTTGGTCAGTCGTGGGGCTTGAACTCTGGGCCTGGGTGCTGTCCCTGCGATCTTCAGCTCAAGGCGAGCCCTCTACTGCTTGAGCCACAGCGCCACTTCTGGTTTTCTAGTGATTTATTGGAGATAAAGAGTCTTACAGACTTTCTTGCCCGGGCTGGCTTTGAACCATGATCCTCAGATCTCAGCCTCCTGAGTAGCTAGGGTTACGGGCGAAAATAGCACCTTTCTTAATAATTTAAAATAAATACCACCAAGTTAGATTGCTTTCTGCTTATAAGAAATGGCAAGCCTTTTGATGTTCCTCGCAAATTCAGATGTTTACGATTCACCAGTTATTTCTTGTTTCCTTTTATTCCAAAATTTTTAATAATCACTTGGTCTTCTAATGTTCTGCTCCTCAAAAATAGTGGTCTAAGGACAGCAGCAGCTACAGAAGCTTGATCTCAGACCTGATGAGTCAGAAACTGTTTTTATATGATCTTCAGATTAATTGGATATACATTAAAGTTTAGGAAACACTGTTGCAGAGTAAATAATAAAAATGACTCCTCTGGAGCTGGGAATGTGGCTTAGTGGTGGAGTGCTTGCCTACCATGCATGAAACCTCAGGTTTGATACCTTAGTACCACACAAACAGAAAAACCCAGAAGTGGCACTGTGGCTCAAGAGGTAGAATGCTAGCCTTGAGCAAAAGAAGCTCAGGGACAGTGCCCAGGCCCCCTGAGTTCAAGCCCCAGGACTAGCAAAGAAAGAAGGAAAGAGAGAAAGAAAAAAGGACTCCTTTGTTGATACCAAGGACCTTCTATATAGATGCTTGGATGAGACTTCCTTTGCCAGCAATAGTCACATTTACCACATGGAAAGTCAGGGAAAGGTAGAAAATGTCATCAGATAGCAGGTATTCTATCCCCAGATTCTATCACCAGATGGTGCACCTTTCCTGATAACTTTGCTTTTAATGCATTCTTTCAGATATTTACCTCTCTGAAGCCCAATACTAGGTTTTCTTCTAGTTTGCTCTAGATAAGTACTCATCATTCAGTGATGTATGAGCATGTATTCACAATATTGATGGCAACCTTGAGGTCATTTGGGGAAAGGGGGAAGAACTAGAGAAAAGACTTGAATAGCAAACTATTTCAAAAGATAAATAAAGCTGGTACAGAGCTCATAATCTAGTTGAAATGGTTAAATACATACATTTATGAAATTATTTTTAGTGTTTTGCAAGGTATTATAAGTCCAAGGCAGTTTGCAAACTTCGCTCCCAAGTATTGTTGAAATTTCAGACTTAATTATCTCTTCTTTTAACCAGAACTCATCATTAACAATGAGCTAGATACTGTGGTAGACAAAATGACATAATCTACATTGCATATTAAAGGAGTTTCTCTAAACATTCTTTTTTTAAAAAAAAAAAAAAAAAAGTGTTGGAGTTTAAACTCAGGGGCCTTGTGATTGCTAGGCATATACTCTTACCACTTGAACCCCAACTCAGCCTAAACATTCTTATGATGGAAATGCAGAGTCAGGTTTCAAAGAAAATGTACTTGTATCAGCATAAAATACATAGAATAATAGCAGATATAGAACTTTTGTGTTCGTAATTTTATTTGTACATACAAAAGAATCTTTGGAACTATGCTTATTACTTATTGAATATTCTGAGTATGTCACATATTGTACATTTATTTAACACATGCTATATGGTAAACGCTAAGGACTCCTTTGAAGCAAGTAAACAATTAACTGCAAATACATTTGGAAGCCAAGCTACACTGGAGCAGATTACTCTTGAGGGGAGGCAAATCCAACAGGACTTTATTAAAAGTCATGAGCTCAGTCCTAAAACCTAAGATGTCTTTAATCTGAAGACACTGATAAGGAAAATGCACCACAAGTAGAGGAAGTAGCATGTCACAGACCCAATTTCTAGTGCCGTAGTTGCCTGAAGGTACCAAGATAAGACATCTTGGTACCTTCAGGCAACTACGGCACTAGAAATTAAGAATAGTTAGATAGAATATAAGATGTAAACAACACATAAAGAGCTAGGCATCAGTAGCTCACACCTGTAATTCTAACTACTCAAAAAGCTGACATCTGAGGATCATGGTTCAAATCCAGCCCAGGAAAGAAAGTTCATGAGACTCTTATCTCCAATGAGCCACCAAAAAGCTGGAAGTACAACGGTGGCTGAAATAGTAAAGTACCAGCCTGGAACACAAAAACTCAAGGACAGCACATAGGCCAAGGGAAGGGGAGAAATGTAATGTTTTTGCTTCTATATTCCAGTTCAGAAACAGCATTGTTTCTGATGTATTATGGTGCCAGCTGTGTGGCTCTAACTCGGGGTCTTATGCTCTAGCTAGGCTATTTTACTCACATCTAGTTCTCTACCACTTGAGTACCAGTTCTGACTTTTGGCTGGTTAATTGAAGGTAAGAGTATTATGGATTTGTCAGTTTGGCCTGGCTTCTAGCCATGATCCTCATACTCAGCCTCCTGAATAGGTAGGACTACAGCATGAGTGACTGGCACTCAGCTGATCTATTATTTTTTTAAGTGTTTTGACTGTGCTGGGTATTTAAAGCCTGGACTTTAGCACTGCCTATCCTTGTTTGAGGTGCTTTTCTGAGTTGCTTATTGTGTAATTCATTTTTCAACTATAGAATGAAGAACTGATCATATGTTCTTCCTACTTCAATTGAGTATCATGAAGACAGACAGGAAGAAGTCTGTAGAAAAGTGGAAACACAGAGACATGCATAGTGGTATATGCACAAACATATTATTGGCTGTGTACTCACATATTACAAATACTTGCACTAGGATATGGTAATATTTAGGATAGGCAAAAAGAATATCCTACTAGAAAAGCACAAGTGTGAAAATTATGGAGTGACCGGAAATCTACCTGCAATGTCACCAAGAAAGCACACAATTATCAACACCTGTACTATACTAGAGTTATTGGATACTAAATATCAAACAGTAACAGCGATTGTCTAGTCCAGGAATTCCAAACAATATCTCACCTTTCTGAAAACTTGCCAAGTAATTGGAGTAAAATTTTTGAAACCCAGTACCACCTAACCACTATTACAGCCAAAGCATTCCCTATTGGTAAGACAGGATTTCTGCTTTAAAGTATTTTGGTATTTATTTTGCCATGGAGATATTTAGTGTGTTTCTCAAATAAAAAAATTCCTGGTTCAAAAAAAATTTTTGAAACCCAATATTAGGTCCTTGTTCTTTGCAACAGGTCCATAGTGATGCTTATACTTGGCTCTGTTTTATATTATAGCTGCTGATGGCCCAGGAGATCGTTTCATCATTGGGGAATCCCAAGCTGGTGAACAGGTGAGATTTATAGGCCCCAAAGAAACTGAAGATTTCTACATCATATACTTTGAGCTTGAAATTCTAAATTTTTGTCACCATAGTTATAGTAATGTTATAGACGGATTACTTAGAAGCCTGTTAATGAATGGATAGTTCTCCTGAGAACCAAAAGAATCATTTCTTAATTTAAAGAACTTATGTTGAACTAGGCACTGGTGGCTTACTCCTGTAAGCCTAGCTACTCAGGAGGCTGAGATCTGAGGATCACAGTTCAAAGCCAGCCCAGTCAGGAAAGTCCATGAGACTCTTAGCTCCAATAAACCAGTAGAAATTGGGAAGTGGCACTATGGTTCAAGCGGTAGAGCTCTAGCCTTGAGCTGAACTGCTGAGGGACAGTGCCCAGACCCAGAGTTCAAACCCCATGACTGACCAAAAAAAGACCCTGGAAGTGATGCTGTGGCTCAAGCGGTAGAGCACTCACCTTGAACTGAAGAGGGCAAGGACAATGCCCAAAGCCCAGAGTTCAAGCCCCATGACTGACAAAAACAAAAAAAATTTTTAAATGGTTACTTTAAAAAAAAAGACCCTATATTGATTAATATATGGCAAAATGTTGCCACAGACATGCCTCAGGATAGTAACTCTGTTAAAATATTTTTCTGGGTCACATGTGATGGTAATCCCAGCTACTGAGAAGGCAGAGATAGGAGGATTATGATTCCAGCCCAGCAAAAGTTAATGAGACTCTATCTCAGAAACAAGCTGGTCATGGTGGTTCTTGCGTGAAATTCTAGCTGTGAGAGAGTGGAGTTAAGATGATAACCAAATAAGACTGACCTAGGCAAAAAAAAAAATCACAGGAACAAAAAAACTTAAGGCATGATTCAAGTGGTAGAACACCAACATAACAAGCAAAACACCCTAACTTCAATCCCTTAGTGCCACCAAATAAAATGACAATTTAATGTAAAATAAAATATAAAATAAATAATAGGTAACTATTAACTTTAACAAACTAAGGGAAATATTTCACAAATCATTTTAATGTATCATTTCAGTGGACTCCATTCATTTACAGTGTGTATTGTCTACTTTTAAGTGGCTATATAAATGTTCTTATATATCTAGTATTTTTAACATTGAATTATCTGTAATGATAGCTGATCAGAATCCTTTGCCTGCCATTTAGAATGTATTATCAAAAAAAGCCAGTAGGTAGGCCCAGGGGCTCATGCCAGTAGGACCAACTGTTTGGGAAACAGATCAGGACAATCATAATTCAAGCCCATGCAGCAAAAGAAGTTAGAAGTTAGCAAGACCTCCCCTCCCTATCTTAATCAGTAAGTTAGGTATTATGGTACATTCAAGCTATGCCAGAGGCATAAATAAGAATAATTAGTTCATGCTAGACCAGGCAAAAAATGGGAGACACTAACTAAAGCAAAAAGAGCTGGAAGCATGGCTCAATCATAGGGCACCTGCCCACCAAGTCCTAAATTCATACCCCTAGGACTATGAGGGTGGCAGGAGGACTAGGAGGAGGAAGAAAGGAGAAGAAAGGCAAGAGTAGGGCAAAGAAGAAAGGAAGGCAAGAAGGAAAGAAAAAATGACTAGTTGGGCATAGGTGCCCTGTGCCTATAGTCCTCACTACTCAGGAAGCTGAGATCTGAGGATTGCAATTCAAAGCCAGCCCAGTCATGAAAGTCTATGAGATTCTTATCCCCAATTAACTGTGAAAACACTAGAAGTAGAATTGTGGTTCAAGTGGAACAATGCCTTGAAAAAACAAGCTTTGTGTTCAAGCCTCAGGAACACACACACACACACACACAAAGATGATGACCAATTTCCCCATTTAAGCAATAGTTCAATAGTATTAAGTAATTCATGACTTAACATTTTTAATATTTAGTAGACATCTTTGAAAATGTGTCTTCTATGTGGAAATTAATACTGTATTGGATTTTTCTTGTAGGGAGAATTTAAAGCATTCCTTTTTCCAACTCTAAATTATGGTCCTAACAAGTAACTCTTCTGAGGCCCAACCAAATTTACTACATGAATCTTACATAAATATGTTTTCTTCATTGTAGAAGTTAACAGGGTAGATCCTGTCTCATATATCATCTGTACAAGAACATTGATTATGAATATCTTCTTTTTCTATTTCAAAATTAGTGTTTAATCCATGTCATTATAAAACCAGGTTACTTTTTAATGATTTAATTACATTTGTTAGACATTTGTTATTAATGGATCATTGACCTAATAAGTTTTTTAAAGATTTTCAAGACCAGTAATTAAGATAACTTTTCTAGTTTGCTTTTTTTAAACAGAATTTTAGCTAATAAAATGCTGATTTTATCAAACTTCAAAACATCAGTAAATTACATAAAATACTGTTTCTATATTTGTCACTCACAATATCCTATGTTCTACCATTTTTCCTAACATACTCCTAAATCACTTTACATAAGAAAATTTATATTATTTTAGTGAAGGGCAAGTAGGGTAAATAAAAGTGACAGTTCATCAAAACAAGGCACTTGGAAAGACATCTGATAACTCATTTTCTTACAAACAAAATCAGCTTAAATCAAATTGACACCTCTTGGGTGTGATTACACCTAATTATCAGTTAGTGTCTATTACATTAGGCCAGAATGAGTAAAACCATAAGATTCTTTCATTGTTTACAAAACTGCTACAACCCCTCCAGATATAGGAATACTCAACTGTTTCTTTTGTGTTTTTCTTCCAGCCAACTCAGACAGTAATGCCAGGACAAGTCATGCGTGTTACAACAGGTGCTCCAATCCCCTGCGGTGCTGATGCAGTAGTGCAAGTGGAAGATACTGAACTTATCAGGGAATCAGATGATGTATGTCACCACCAGGTTCCTATGGCAGTATTGCAAGTCCATGATTTCCACAGTGTTTATGAGATGACCTGAGGTGTTTTTTTTTTTAATTATGTTTGGGTCTTACATTACCATAATATGTAAGAAATATGTGGATAAATAAGAAATTGCATTAGGCTTGAAGGGTTTGGAAGAAGGGTTTGGGGGCTGTTATCATAATGGAATTTGAAACATGTTTAACACAGAAATTCCTGTGTAAACAAAGAAACTACCTCACAACAGAAGAACAATATTAATAATTATATATCTTCTAGCTGAGAAGTTTGTTACTGACACTAGCTTTTTATAAAGTATGAAGGTTAGCTGGGCACTGGTGGCTCCTACTTGTAATCCTAGCTACTCAGGAGGCTGAGATCTGAAGATCGAGGTTCAAAGCCAGCCCAGGCAGGAAAGTCCATGAGACTCTTATCTCCAATAAACTACTCAGAAAAAGCTGAAAGTGGTGCTGTAGCTCAAGGGGTGGAGCATTATCCTTGAGCTTAGAGAGGCTCAGAGACAGTGCCCAGGCCCAGAGTTCAAGCCCTAGAACCAGAAGGAAAAAGAAATATATATATTAGAAGGTTAAATCAGAATTTAATAGACAAGAATCCCAAGAATTTAATAGACAAGAATCAAAGTACAGGGGCTGGGAAGGTGGCTCAGTGGTGGAGCACTTGCCTTGCATGCCTGAGGCCCTGGGTTCGATTCCTCAGCACCACATAAGCAAAAAGAAAAAAGCCAGAAGTGGCGCTGTGGCTCAAGTGGTAGAGTGCTAGCCTTGAGCTGAAAAGCTGAGGGACAGCGCCCAGACCCAGAGTTCAGGCCCCATGACCGGACCCCAAAAAAAAAAAAAAAAAAAAAGAATCAAAGTACATTTTGCCAGATTTTTTTTTGAACATCATGTTATAGCCAGATATTTCAACTAAGTGACCCTTTTACCTCTGATTGGTGCCACTAAATTACAACCTGGAAATGATACATTTAAAAGAGTCCCTGCTCCAATATTTCAAATAAAGGATTCTGGGGTCTTTTGAACTTTTTTTTTTTTTTGTCTGTTGTGGGGCTTGAACTCTGGGCCTGGGCACTGTCCCTGTGCTCTTCAGCTCAAAGCCAGTGCTCTACCGCTTGAGCCACAGCACAACTTCCGGTTTTCTAGTGGTTTATTGGAGATAAGAGTCTCACAGACTTTCCTGCCCATGCTGGCTTTGAATCTCGATCCTCAGATCTCAGCCTCCTGAGTAACTAGGATTAAAGGCGTGAGCCACGGCGCCCAGCTCTTTTGGACTTTTAAGTAAGCCTTTTTCTCACTGAACCTAGTGGCAATGGTTGAAACCAGAATATCAGCACAAATGAAAATAGGAAAAGGTACTGATAACTCATGCCTGTAATCCTAGCTGTGCAAGGCTGAGAAAAGGATTGCAGTTCAAAGCCAGTCTGGGCACACATACAAGACCCTTTCATAACCAGTAGCTAGGTATGTGGTACACACCTGTCATACTTAGTTCGTATAGATTAAGAACAGGAGTAAAACAGAAAAATCTGAGACTCCATCTCAATGAGAAAAAATGGGTATAGTGATATGCACCTTTTATCCTAGCTGCATTGGAAAGCCTAAAATCACCAGATTACTGGTGCAGGTGTATACTGGAACAGGCAGCTAGAAACTTTCTCAAAAATAACTAATGTTGGATGGGGACATGGTTTAAGCAGTCATAGCATTCCTGCCTAGCAAGTGTAAGAGTGTGAGTCCAAACCCCTATATCATCAAAAACGAGGAGGAGGAGGAGAAAAAGGAGGAAGAAGATAGTGAATTGAAATTCTAATAACTGGAACGCTTACTTAGCTTTGGGAAAAGTTTAAAGTATTTTACATTTTTAAATTGAGGGTAAAATAATATGTATAATCTTAGGTTGGAAAGGTCATAAAATTTGTCCATGCTGTGAGACAGCCAGTCTTTTTGGTCTGGACGTTTTCTTTTTAATGACCTTCTCACATGTAGGGCTTATAAAATTCAAATCTTGGCATACAGATCACATTGCCTGCTGCTATAACTGTCCAAGCAGAGATTTATTGGCATAAAGGAAGCCAGCAAAGCATTGAAATCAAGAACACACACATCCTTAGACTGCCAGATGACAAGACACAGTTCCAATGTCACAATATTAGTCACAGCCCATAATTGTAAAGTTGATTATAGCAGTTGGTCTTTTTTTAATATTTTTTTATTGTGAAAACATTGTACAGAGGGATTACAATTACATGAGCAAGGTAATGAGTACATTTCTTATCAAGCATTGTTGCCTCCTCCTTTGTTTTTCCCCTACCATCCCTTCCCTCCCATCTCCACAAGTACACTCCCTTCCACACCTAAATTGTAAAGTTTGTTTTTTGACTTAGCATCTTGTACATCTCATTGTTGCAGTGGGTCAACCTGTATCCCTATTTAAACAATTTGTTTTTTCCCTTCCACTCCCCAAATTATACCAACATCAAATAAAGTGAAATACTGTGGGAGAGGGACATACAAAGCAACAAAAAAATCACATGGTACCTTATAAATATGTTAGAAACAATAGCAAGAAAGTGTCCTTATCTTGGGATTCATTTTGCTTAACATTGTCTTATCTGACCTTTTCTGCTTGTCTCAGACATATACTATTTGTTGCAAATAAGGGAAACCATGAGACTTATGTTTCTTTGGGCCTGGCTTACTTCACTTATTTTTCCAAGCCTTTCCCATTTCCTAACAAATGGGGCAATGTCATCCTTTCTAATGGAGACATAGAATTCCATTGTAAATATATACCACATTTTCTTGATCCATTCATCTACTCAGGGACATCTGGGTTGGTTCCATATCTTAGCTATGGTTAATAATGCTGCAATAAACATAGTTGTGATGGTAGCTTTACTATGGTCTTGTTTGTGATCATTAGGGTAAATGCCCAAAAGTGGGATTGCTAAGTCACAGGGGAACTCTATGTGGAGTCTTTTGAGGAACCTCTATAGTACTTTTCAAAGTGGTTGAACAAGTTTACACTCCCACCAAAAATGCAGTAGCGTTCCCTTCTGTCCACATCCCCTCCAGCATCTGTTATTAGAGTTCTTGATTATAGCCATTCTAACTGGGATGAGGTGGTATCTCCATGTTTTGATTTGAGCATTTCTTCCTATGTCTATTGGCCATCCTTCTTTCTTCTTCAGAGAAGTTTCTCTGTAAGTCTTTAGCCCACTTACTTACTGGGCAGTTGTTTCTTTGAGGATTTGTTGTTGGGAATTTAATTTTTTGAGTTCCAGGTATATTTTAGATATGAGACCCTTGTCCGTTGTATGGCTAGTGAAGATCTTCTCCCAATCCATGCATGGGCTTTCTATTGATCTTGCTAGCTATGTCCTTTGCCATGCAGAAGCTCTGCAACTTCATGCAATCCCATTTGTCCAACCTTTCTTTGATTTGTTGTGTTTCTGGGTCTCTATTAAGAAAATTTCAGCCTGTGCCAAGGAAACCTAGGGTTTCTTCTATTCCATCCTGTAATGTTTTCAGGGTGTCTGCTCTGACTTCAAGGTCTTTGATCCATTTGGAGTTGATTGTGGTACAGGGTGATATATAAGGATCTAGCTTTAGTTTTCTACAAGTGATTAACCACTTATGCCAGCACCATTTACTGAAGAGGCTGTTTTTCTTCCATTCTATTTTTTTAGCTCCCTTATCGAAGATTAGATGGCTATAGGTCTGTGGGTTCATTTCTGGGTTTTCAATTCTATTCCATTGGTCCTGAGGTCTCTTCTTGTGCCAGTACCAAGCTGTTTTGATTACTATGGCTTTGTAGTAGAGTTTGAAATTTGGTATTGATATTCCTACAGCACTGTTCTTTCTGTTAAGGATTGTTTTTGCTATTCGGGGGTCTTTTGTTATTCATATGAATTTTTGGATTGCCTCTTTGAAGAAAGAAGTTGCAACATTTATAGGTATCGCATTGAATTTGTAGATAGCCTTGGGAAGTATTGCCATTTTCACAATGTTGATCCTTCCAAGGCAGGAGCATGGGAGGTTTTGCCACTTTCTAAGTTCTGTTTTAATTTCCTTTTTCAGGTTTTTAAAGTTTTCATCAAAGAGGTCCTCCACTTCTTTGGTTAAGTTAATTCCTGGGTATTTTATTTTTTGTGGGGCTATTACAAATGGAGTTGCTTTCCTGATTTCAGCTGCACTTTTCTCATTGTTGGCATACAAAAAAGCCATTGATTTTTGAGGGTTAATTTTATACCCTGCTACTTTGCCAAAGTTTTGAATCAGCTTGAGTAATTTGGGAGTGGAGTCCATGGAATTCTTTTTTTTCTTTTCTTTTTTTTTTTGTTTTGGGTCCGGTCGTGGGGCCTGAACTCTGGGCCTGGGTGCTGTCCCTCAGCTCTTCAGCTCAAGGCTAGCACTCTACCACTTGAGCCACAGCGCCACTTCCGGCTTTTTTCTTATGTGGTGCTGAGGAATAGAACCCAGGGCCTCGAGCATGCAAGGCAAGTGCTCTACCACTGAGCCACCTCGTGGAATTCTTTAAATACAAGATCATGTCATCTGCAAAGAGGGAGAGTTTTACTTCATCTTTCCATATTTGGATCTCCTTTATGTTTGCATCTTGTGAGCCACCTCGTGGAATTCTTTAAATACAAGATCATGTCATCTGCAAAGAGGGAGAGTTTTACTTCATCTTTCCATATTTGGATCTCCTTTATGTTTGCATCTTGTCTTATTGCTGTAGCTAGGCATTCTAATACTAAATTGAAGAGAAGTGGAGAGAGTGGACATCCTTGTCTCACTCCTGAGTTTAGAGGAAATGGCTTTAGTTTTTCACCATTAAGTATAATGCGAGCTGTAGGTTTGTCCTATACAGCCTTTAATGTATTCAGGAATGTTCCATGGATTCCTAGTTTTTCCAGAGCCTTCATCATAAAGGGGTATGGGATCTTGTCAAATGCTTTTTCTGCATCTATTGAGATAACCATGTGGTTCTTATCCTTGCTCTTGTCGATGTGATGAATTATATTAATTGATTTGCATATATTGAACTAGCTTTGTGTCCCTGAAATGAATCCTGTTTGATTGTGTTGTATGATTTTTTTAGATGAATTGTTGAAATCGATTGGCCCAAATTTTGTTGAGTAATTTTTCATCGATGTTCATCAAAGAAATAGGTCTATAGTTCTCTTTCTTGATGAGTCCCTGCCTGGTTTTGGGATGAGGGTTAAGATGGCTTCATAGAAAGAGTTCGGTAGTGAACTTTCTCTTTCAATTTCCTTGAAGAGTTGGAGGAGTATTGGTGTGAGTTCTGCTTTGAAGGCCTTGTAGAATTCTGCAGTAAATCCATCTGGTCCTGGGCTTTTCTTAGATGGGAGGAATCTTATTGCTGTTTCTATTTCAGTGCTTGATTTGGGCCTGTTAAGTTGGTTTAACTCATCTTGGTTTAGTTATTGCAGTTAGTCTATAGAAATCTACTACCAGATATACTGTAAAAACTACCTGAAATTTCTGAGGAATTTGGGAACCTTGACATGGTATTGAATCCATGATTCATGGGAACAGAAGAGAAAGGTTATCTTCATGAAACTTTATTTTATCTATTAAGGTAGGCATATGTGTGTGCATATATATGTATATTTACATACACACATATATATCACTTAATATTGCTTACAAAGTAAGATTCTGCATTTGAACTAATACGTTTTTGAATCATGAAAGTTAAAGAAAATATTGGTTGATTGGTTTATTAACATCAAACCTAATTTTTTAGTTAGCAAGTTGTTTTCTGTTCATTTATATTTTTATATATTCTGAGTTTATGTGGTGATAAAAGTACTTAAAAAACTAAATTCTGTTCATCAAAAATTCTATTAGATTGCATTTGAAATTATATGACCTTCTCATTTTGTAGGGCACTGAAGAACTTGAGGTACGAATTCTGGTGCAGGCTCGTCCAGGCCAAGATATCAGGTAAGTTCATTACACAGCCATGTATAGCTTTTGTAACTACATGATCATAAACTCAGGTCAATTGACTCAGGTCAATTAGCCATTTGCTTTCAAGTGTTAAAAACAAGAAGCACCATGAAATTTCAGAATTTTATATCCCATATCTGCCCTGTTTACTTTTTAATGAAAAGTAATGATGTAGATTAAAAGTAAAAAAAAAACACATGAGAAAAAGTAAAGTCATAAGCTCAAATAACCAACGTGTCCCCTTAGATGATCCAGATTTACCCTTCACCCCTAGATTATCCATAAATTGGTATTAACACAGAAGATTCTAGAATCAAATATTGACTATAATTAATAGTAAAATAATCTGCTATTCCTTATATACAAAGATGAGGCTACTTTTCTGCTATAATAGTGCATATACTTCCATTTTCTTTTACAATAGGACATGTTTAATATCATTACTAATGATTCGCCTAAAATCCCTTTGTAACAAATTGTGTTTCTCCATCCCTGTGGTAGCAGACTGAAGTGCATGTACCCAAGGCTTCAGTTAAATAATCTAAATAGAAATTACCAGTATAACAATAATTTCATTGGCACTATTATATTTCCCACAAAGCTAACCAGTTATGGATGTCACTAAGTATCTTTGCTTTGTGTCACAGGAGGTTTGAAATTGGTATTTTTAACTATAATGCAGTATAGCAAAATCTTTAAAGTAATTTTCAAACATGAAGTAACATATTCCTGTTTAGAAATAATAGATACATAAAAATCTTCTGTCTTCTGTAGTTTGATATCTTCTTAAGTTACTAACACTTATTTTAGAACCTTCTCAATGTTTTTATTCCTGCTTCATCTTTATTATTTTTCTCCCCTTGAATGTGCCTTTTCTGATACTGAAGTTTACCTCAGAGTTGAGAAAATGTTATTTTCAGACATACTATTAATGATTCTGCCTTGTCTTTCAGACCTATTGGCCATGATATAAAAAGAGGGGAATGTGTTTTGGCCAAAGGAACCCACATGGGTCCCTCAGAGATTGGTCTCCTGGCAACTGTGGGTGTCACAGAGGTTGAAGTTAACAAGTTTCCAGTGGTTGCAGTCATGTCAACAGGGAATGAGGTAATACACACACACACACACAAACACACACACACACACACACACACACACACTGTGTGTGTGTGTGTGTGTATATATATATATATATAAACTATGTATATATAGTAAAAACTGGGAGAGAAGGCTTACAAGATAAAGGCATTTTTGTCCTCTTATTTTGTAAAGTTATGGATCTTACCAATGGTATTACATTTTTATACTTAAGGAATAATAATTTGGCCTCAGAATAGTTAAAGACAGAAGATAAGAAGAAGGAAAAATCTATAGATGATACATTAAGAAATGTTCCCTTCCATTTCTTAGGATGAAATATTATAGCCAATGACTTTTCAACCCAGTCAGTACGTATAAACAAAAAAAATTGGCTGTAAACTTCAGATATCAAGCTGTGGAAGTATTATTTTAGTCTATTAAGACAATGACTATCTTTATTGCCTAAGGGATGGACCAACTGCATAAGTAGTAAATCAGTAAGTCAAGATACCATATATAGCCCTTATTTTTTGTTAAAAGTGCTATAATACATAATCTATTATCACCAAAAAGAGTTGATAATTATTTTGTTGTTGATAAAATCTTTGATTTATATTGTTTGCCATTCTTCCCCTACTCTTACCAAAATTAGCTCTAGTTATGACTTTCTGGTGATATACTTTAATGTTAGTGAATGAAATGTTTATTGTTTACCTCTGTATTAGGCATTATACTTTAACTAGTGATAAAAAATAATTCTCTTTCTCCTTGAAGTTCTATAATCAGAAAACAAGACACCCTCCCCCCCAATACATACATAAATTCATTTATTCTCAGAGACCAAAAGAAAATTGCACTTACCTGTTAATGTGGCAGGGCTATAATTTAGCCATACACAATATAAATTTCCCTTAAGTACTAGTTCTGATTTCTGTTGATAAATATGGCTTCATTTATGCCCATTTACAAGATATCTAAGTATACTGTTTAAAACCTACCCAGTATTATGACTGTATAACTTTATGAAGATGATAAAATTATTATAAAACTAGGAAAATAGAGCTGTCATTTGTAAAGAATGGCAGACTCAGACATTGTCAATTTCAATGAACTGTATATTAAAATTTAGGTAGTACCATTGTGGGCATACATTCCAAATTTTATATATTTGCTCTATAAGTATATACTATGCATGTGTTACATGCTGTAATACTCACCAGGGAGTTCTTTTAATGAGCCATTCAGCCTTGAGGGATAGAAAGTGTAGCTAAGAAGTATAACACCTGTGTAACCTGTGTGAGGCCCTGGTTTTAATTCCCAGTACTGGGGGGGGCGGGGTGGGGGGACTCGGAAAGGGATCAGATTGACAAAATTTGAATAGAAAGTACCTAAGCCCATTTACTTAGAAACATATTGGCAGGAAAGTGAGAAACAGTGGCTCAAGTTCATAAGTCTCATAGTGGAGACTGAGGGATCCAACTTTGAGGCCTGCCTGGACATCAGAATTTATGAGAGTTCATTTCAACCAATAGCTATGCATGGTGGTTTGGACCTGTTGTCCCACTTACAGCTAAACACAATGGTTGGACACAGTGGTGGGCACCAGTCATCCCAGGAACATAAGGAAGCGTAAGTAGGTAGGTCACAGTGCAGGCCAGCCCAGGCATAGAATGAGACCTCCTCTTCAAAAATAACCAATGCAAAAAAGAAGCTACAGGTTTGGCTCAAGTTTGCCTAACTAGGATGAGGCCTTAAATTCAATCCCCAGTACCACAAAAAAAATGGATATTGATTTATATATTGATATTGAAATCAATACTGTTACTGACAGGAAACTTACCATCCATCAGGGAAACCAATAGTTTTTTCTTCAGAGAGACCAGAGCTCTTAGCAATCCATATAGTCATCCATGACTCTTCTGATAATTCTTCAAATGACAGCTCAGGTACAAGGAAGTAAGACTTGTACTAGGAGAGTGTGGAAGGCACCCAAACTTAGGAGCCTCATGTCCTATATAGATATCAGTACTTCTTATTAAAAAAAATATATGGGGGGGTACTTTTTAGGATCTCTATAAGGTAAGTGTGACAAGTATTACCATACACATGGAAGCCCAAAACTGTGTCTCTCCACTAAATATTTATAGTACCTTCATTTATAATACTTCTCAGTCCTCATATATGATACCAAAGACCACTTTTACCATAAGAAATGTTGCCTAGTAACAAGTTGACATTTCATCTTTATCAAATTTCCAAGGGAACAGAGTTTGAAATAAGAATGTTCTTGTTTGCAGAAAATGAGAAAACGATAATAAGACCTGACTAAAAATCAGTCTGCTTTTATTATCACCATGCACTAGCAATTCTAAACATATTAGAGATAAAATACTCCTCTCTGATGGGGCATACCACTTCTCATTTTATATGTAACTGATGGTAAGCAGTGTTCTGATAACTTCTTCTTGATAAACAGAAATAAAGATAGGTAAATTCCTGTCCATGTAGAATTTACATTGTAATTGGCAGATAGGTAGTCAATGAATAGTAATAAATTGCATAAATAAAATAAAGAGAAGTAAAATGGTAAACAGTGTCAGTAGAGAAGGTTTAAGCCAATATTATCTGTTGAAAACTTAACCTACCACAATTCTATTATAGTCTCCCTTTTTGCAATTAGGCTGGAAGCCTGGAATCTGAGTAGTCCAACCCTTCTTGTAAGCTTTGGTTTAATTAGGATTTAATGATTTGTTGTTACTGTTTGTTTGTTTGTTTTTTGAGGCAGGATCTCACTCCATAGTTTATTTCTGGCCCCAAACTTGGGGTCCTCCTATTTCAGCCTCCTGAATTCTAGAACTATATTATACACCACCACTCCTGGCCCCTAGTTATATTTTGCCATTGAAATGCATTCCTGTGGTATTAGAAGATGCAAAGAAAGTAAAAGCATTAGCAAAAATGTAAGCCTTCAATCTCAGTAATGTCTTTCCCTTCCCCCACAGCCTTAGACAACAGTGATTTGCTGTAGTCCCTAATCTTGGTGACACAAGTTTTTCCTCCAGCTTTTACAACACATAATTCCCTATATTTGACACTCCCTTTTCCCACCTCCCATCTTGTGAAATCCTTAGAAGAGTTGTGATTTTGTTTAGACCTGACAGTTTTCTGTTATAGATGAAGTAATTAAATCTCACTATAAGATGAAATTTGAGTAGAGATCTAAAGGCATTTAGAATATATTCTATGTGTGGGAAGTGTATTCTAGACAAAGAGAACCACAAAAGGAATATCTCTGCTTTTCATCTTTGAGAAGGCAGAAGAAAGTCAATTTATCAGGAAGCAAAGTAGAAGGTAACATTTTATTTTAAATGGGCAGTTTTAAGGAAAGGAAACATAACATGGAACATAAGGGAATATAATATATCTTAAGTTTCTTAATGTATTGGCTTCTTTGTGGCAAGGCATATAGGCAGGACAGAAGAAAAGATCAGGACTAGAAAGCCATGGAATACTGTAGCGTACAGCGGTAGCTATAGAGATGGCAAGAAGTAATCAGATCATGATATATCATGAAAGTAAAACTAACCAGTCTGAATAGGGAATTCAAAGTAGAACATAAAAAAAATAAGTAATAAACATGAACTCTTCAGGTACTATCCTAAGAAAGTGTATATTATATGTATATATGCATATGTATAGATATATACATATATATATATATGTATATATATATATATATATATATATATATATATATATATTGACCCAAATGAGAGAGAATGAGCCAAGGAAATAAAGGATTCTACATTGAACATATTAAGTTTAAAGTACTTATTAGGGCTGGGAAAGTGGCTCAGTGGTTTGCATGCAAACCTGGGTTCGATTCCTCAGCACCACATAAGCAAAGAGAAAAAAAGCCGGAAGTGGCGTTGTGGCTCAAGTGGTAGAGTGCTAGCCTTGAGCTGAAGAGCTGAGGGACAGTGCCCAAACCCAGAGTTCAGGCTCCATGAACGGACCCAAAAAAACAAAACAAAACAAATAAAGTACTTATTAGAAATTCCTCTAGAAATACTGAGGAGGCAATTGACTCTCATAATCCAGAGCTTAGGAGAAGGATTTGAGCTAATGTACCTGTGCAAGTTAGCTGCATATTCATAGTACTTAAGTTCCTAAAACTAGATAACATCACCTAGGAAATGAGAATATATAGATTAAAAGATATACAAACTTTACACTTGGAAAGCAGCTATAGTTTCATCTTTTTTCCCCACCTTTTATATTTACCTTGACTCTATTCACAGAATTTTTTTAAATTCCCCACTTTCAACTTCTTTTGGATATTTCTACCTGATAGTCCGCCATTATCTAATTTTACATCTTTCTCTTCCTCCCACCCAAAAAAATACCTTCTTCCTAACTTTTTATAATGATGTCACTATTCATTGAAACTTTTCACTAAGGTATCATAAAATTCATCATGCTAACCACTGGAGGGAGGAGGCAGGGAGGCAGTTCTGTATGTATGCCAGGACTGGGGCTTGCTCTCAGGGCCTAAGTTCTATTGCTCAAGGCTACTGCTCTACCACTTGAGCCAGAGCTCCACTGCTGGCTTTTCATAGTTAATTGGAAATAAGGGTCTCTTGGACTTTTCCTGCCCAGGTTGGCTTCAAACTGTGATCCTCAGATCTGTCTTCTGAGTAGCTAGGATTAAGGTTGTAAGCCAACAGCACCTGGCTCATACCAACCCTTTTTAAAGGTAAATTCAGACCATTGAGGATAATCACATGCTTATACAGCCATTTACCAGAACTCCTTGCAAAACTGAAACTCAATACCTATTTAAGGACTCTCATTTCCCCTCAAATCTCACAGACACTTGGATACCATCATTTGAATGTCTGTCTCTAGGTATGTCACTACTGGAGTTAATACAGTGTTTATCTTTTTGCAACAGCCTATTTCACTTAGTAAAATGTCTTCTACATTGATCCTTGTTACAGCCAAGATCCAACTTGCCTCAACCTATA